GCGGCAGCGGCGGCGGCGGCTCGGCAGGCGGGTTCAGGCTTCAGGGGCCAGGTCGGTCGGGTGGGTGGGTTCTCCACAGTCAGTGCGTGCGCGGGCCAGCGCGCGCGTCATCCCCTTTTCCCCACCCCTGTCCCTTTCCCCTTCTCCTCTAACCACTTACCCCACCCAGCCCCCCTCCTCAGGGAGCAGCAGGGCCGCTCCCTCCGTCCTTTCCTCCCTTACCCACCCTCACCGCCCTTGTTTCTCCTTCCCCTGTCCGGGGCAGCCGCCGCCATGATCCTTCTGGAGGTGAACAACCGCATCATCGAGGAGACGCTCGCTCTCAAGTTCGAGAACGCGGCCGCCGGGTGAGCGCGCGCCCGGGGCCGGCAGGTCGGGGAAGGGGAGGCAGAGTTGACTCCTGCTAATTCGCTCAGCGCCCCCAGACATAGAGGAAGGAGGTGGGGGACCTGGCCAGGTGTGGGGAGTGCCCCGGCAGGGTAGACGTGGGAGGTGATTGGGCTCGGTGGGGTGAGGGGCAGAGATGCGTGGGGAGAGGCTCAGAGAAGGGATGCGGAAGCAATGAGTGGACAGGAGTGCGCGTGCCAAAGGGCATCAGACCTGTGGGACGTGAGGACAGTTTGGGCCAGAACTCTCGCTGGAGACCCCTTTGCCCTCCAGAGCGAGCAGCGGACCACTTCCCTCTGTATTCCCGTCATTGTTCAGAACCCGGAGAGAGTCCACTTAGGATTGGGTTGGAAAGAGTTTTCAGGAATTCCCAGGACTGAAGATGCAGGCCCAGATCACCACCAGCCCTCTCCCTCCCCACCCCCACCTCCTAGTCAAAAGGAGCCGGAGGGAGGACTGAAGGCAGGCCCGGGGTCCTGCAGCCGCAAAACGCGATCTCTAGTTTTCCTTCCCCGAACCCTGCTGTGGAAGGCACTGGCTATATTGTTATATTTCTCAAGCAAAGTTAATAGTAACCCCCCCTTCCAGTCCACACCCCTTCCTTATCACTCTTCGGAGGTTCTAATTCTCCTTCCCCTACCCAGTATCCTCTATCTGGCTGTTAATCTTTTAATTCTTATACCATGCCCCTGGTCTGTGATTTCTTCTATGGTAATTCTGACCACAGTACACACTTAAAAGCCTCGAGTCTGTAAAGTCCTTATATACTCTCTTTTTAACCACTGGCCTTTTAAAAAGTGGACTTACGGTGTGTATCAAAGGCAGCCTTCTGTGTCAGACACAAGAATCAGTAGAAGACAACCTCCTCCCCCAAAGCTGCTTTGCTTTTCTAACATAATTTTTTAAAAATGAACCAAGGATTTGGTTTTAGCTTCTAATTTTTGGTGGCCTGTGGCCAGTCCCTTTGCCTCATTTCCCCATGTGTGAGAATGGGACTTCACATCTTGGTTACACAGTGGAGGAAGTAAGTACAAACTGTTTCTGATGAACTGGGAACTAGTAATAGGAAAGTGCTTGGAGAGCCACAGATGGAAGAGGATTGGTGGAGGGAAAATTCTAAATAGACATAATGAACTTGTGGTTTGGAGGCACTAAAAAAATATATTTCTAGACCACTGCTTAAATTGAACATATTATGTCTCCTGTCTTTTATAAGGCCGCAGATTTTATCTGTAAAGCAAAGCCCGACTTTGCTTGAACATCAGTAGCTACTGTTTCCTGCCAGAGGCTGCAGTTGCTTATATTTTAGGCTAAGTTGCTTCTCATCTTCAGCCTCGCTTACTAGTTCCTTTGCATTTTAAGTGTTCAGGCAAATCAGCTTAGCGACTTATTTTGGGTGATTGCTCTGAACTTTTGAGCAGTGTAGCACATAGGAGGAAGTTAAGCTAACTTCTGCATTTTCGCAGCTGATCTTAAGTGAATTCTCAAGTTTAGACTAGCAAAAATATGAGACCTGAGTGGTTATAAGCTGATCTACAAGATAAATCCCTGTGCATTTTCAAGTAGAAGCATGCCTTGTAGTGTAGAAGTATGTTCACATCTACTTGTGTATGAGTAACTTGTGATTCTGACATGTAGTCCATTATTCAGAGCTTCAGGTCTTTTCCTTTTAGAACATTATTCTTAAAAAGACAGCTGACCATTTCAGCTGGAGTAAAGTAGGCACTCAAATCTGGAAGGCATAACTTCTGAGAGTTTTTTGTCTTTAACAGAAAGTGTATGTTGTAGCAATGTTGAATATTGGGGCAGGGCACCAAGTTTTGGCTTTTATTCTGGCCTGTCTTCCTTTTGAGATGTGACTTTAAATAAGTGGACTCAGAACATACTCTGCTGAAAAGCACTTTGAAAATCTTTGAAAGAGACCATGATATTCAGCCTAGGAGGTAAGACTTTCCTGGGATTGCAGATGTAACACCTAGCAGAAGAATTTCCAGGCATACCAGTAAGGTGAGGCAGCAGTGAAGTAGTTAAGTATTTACCAAGGCACATGCCTAGCCAGAACTTCCAGAGAACGATAACTAGAGAACTATAAACATTTATGAGGTTCTACCAGTGCTCAGCACCAGGCAGGAACAGAAGAGGGGAGCCTTTCTGAGAGAGTCCATTGGCACAGTTACAGAGGAGCTAAGGGGTGAGATGGGGTGGAGATCAGAGAAAGACATTAAAGAAAGGCAGTAGCTTTGGGGAGAAATCTTAAGAGATTTTAAAGGCTTTGCCCACCTAGGAACCTCCTGGGAGAGGTCAGTTCCACCCTGCTTTACACTTCTCAGCAAACCAATTGGGGAAAATGGGTTCAGAGCAGCCTTCCCTAGAGTTAATCTTCCGACTCTGCGGTGTGCAATAAGGATAGCCATTAGCTACATGTGGCTAGTTAAGTTTAAATAGAAATTAATTAAAGTGAATTAAAATTAAGCTCCTCAGTCACACTAGCCACAGTTCTAGGGCTCAGTTGCCACATGTGGCCAGTAGCTGCCGTATTTGGGCAGCGCAGATGTAGAACATTTCCATTATTGCAGACAGTCCTATTGGATGACACTGTTCCAGCTACTGAAAGTATAAGAATGTCATAGTCTGTGATATATACTTCAGAATACAGTTGTGGTAATTTTCCTTTTGAGGTTGCTTTTTTTTTAAAATGATGCCTCTCAGAGCATGGTAATGGATTTATGGCGGGTCCTCCTCTGTGGGCCTCTCATAGTGTACCCATGCCACAGAAAATTGCAGCCTTGAACCATTGCCCAGCCTCCTGGGCTGTGAGTACTGAAGGGGGTTTATACAGTGTGAAACCAAAAAGAAACAAAAAACAATACTTCTCAGATCATCCCGCTGGATCTTCTTGCCTGCAACATCCTACTAAAAGTCTAAATTTCCTTCAGGTAAAGCAGCTCTGTCATCTAAACTGTGTAAGAATACATTTGGTCATGACAGCCTTTTAATTTGGAGACAGTTCTGACAAAGCCTAAGATTCATTCTAAACAAATTATTTTGTTTTTTCCTACTGCACTCCTGGGAAGGTGGCTTATTGGAATGATTTATATATATTCACAAAATGATAATTATTGGTAAATTATCTTCCCAACAGCCTTCAAACTAAGAGAATGTGACTAATTAAGAAGCTGTACTCAACACTGCAGATAACCTCGCATGCAGGTCTTGTCAACAGTGTTCCTTTTCATTTAAGAATTCTTACCCAGACCCCCAATTAAAGCATAACTAATCTGGCAAATTAATTGAATTCTTTTGTTAGTATATGCACACCAAGAACCTTTACAGCCTCAGAAGCTAGGCTTGTCAACTTGGCTAGAGACTGGAGTCCAGAATTGAAGAAATACTGTCAGATGCGAATTGCTCTTGATTTTAAGTGCATGCTGGCTCCTTGCCACAGCTGTGCATATTGTGGGAAGCCGTGGTTCCGTAAGGGGGAATGAAGCTCAGTAAGCAAGCTGTGCCAGGTCGGGTGGGCGAGGACTGTGGGAGGAGAAATTTGAGAAAGGAATAAAATTAAATCTTGCTGATACCTTGTTCTCATTCCCAAATATGCTGCATATGTCCTCAGAGAGACAGGCTGGTTAGAAGTGATTTGGAATTAGGACATTGTTTAAGGGTTTTGAAGAGATTGAATGTAGTGGCTGACTTGCTGAGACCATCTGGTTGGTCTTTTTACAGGACACTATAGTTACACACTGCTGCCCATCCTCTGGCTGCCTTGGGACCACTTTAGGCATGAAGCCCCAGAGCTACACTCCACCAAACCTGTGACTGCTTAGGGGCAGGGTCTATCATTTTAGTTGTCATTGTTTCCACAGCATTCTCAGTGTGTGGAGAATTGGCTCAGTAAGTGTTTTCTTGAAGGAATGGATGGAGCCAGACTGAATGGTTCTTAGTTTCTTCAGGATCTTATCATTTTTCTGACATTGTGTGACTTAGCTGTTAGACTCTCTTTGTTCTCCTTATTTTGAGACATGGCTTAACAGAGAGTAGGACTACCTCTTACCTAATAAGATCCACTTTGTAGGTTTTGCTTAAAAAAGATGATGAGAGCCTTAGAGAAGACTTAAAGGAGAGTGATCAAAAACCTTTATAGTGAGATAACGGGCAGAATTCCTCTAATTCAGCTCATGAAAGAGATAACTAGAAGAGAGACATAAATGCCCAAATGGGGAACTGGATGCACTGAGAAGTAAAAACCCCAAAATCCTTAATGAAAATAGAGGATTGGATAATACAGTTGCCAGGAGTTCTTTATTGACTGACTAGTGACATTCTAGAAGCTTCCTTAGGAAAAGGATAGAAGAAAAATTTTTAAAGGATTTTAAGAATAGCTCTTTGAACCCATTGGAATGAATTGAGTATGTTTTAGTGCCTTGTGCTGCACAGTCAGTAACCTTGAGGATTTATCCAGCTGGCTTGTTCTAGGATTCCAGACATTTCAACAGTCTGATAGGTGATTCTATTTCTCCTTGTACTGCTGACCAGTTCCTGATTCTGGAAGTTAACACAATCCCAAAACCTCCCAACCATGGCTTCAAAGTCTGGTCTCCTTTGACTCTTACCTAGAAGAAAAATTAATTCTTTGATCACCTTCTATGAACCAGGCCCTTTGCTATGAACTATAACATGGTCACATTTCAGAATGTGCCCATGTGACAAATAGCAGTTTCAGTTTACAGTTGAGGAAACTGGGGCTCTTGGGAGTTGCTGAGGGAGTAGACATATGTGTTAAGCGTTGTGCAGGCAACCTTCACTGATGATTCCTGACCTTGTTTATGATATGTCACGTACACAACATGACACTATCTGAATGGCATCTGGGTAAATGGTCTAGCCTGGAGGTTCTGCCACTGGGCTGCCCTAGGGGCTGTGGGGATTATTATCTCAGCATATCTGTAATTTAGTCACAAGACGCTGGTTGGGAAACTGCTGTCCACATAGCATCTTAGTTAGTCTTCATAGCAACCTTGGGTGGTAGATATTTTTGATCTCCATTTTCTAAAAAAGGAACGTTAGGTCCGCTGACATTTGAGTAACAATTTGAGTAACATTGCTTGTGGTTACAGAGCCAGTAAGTGACAGAGCTTGACGTGAACAGTCAACTTTGAAGGGCTTGCTTTTTCTGTGATTAAACTCACCCCCAGCATCTGAAATTTTAGCAGATAGTAGGACAGAAAATAACCATTTATCTTTTGGGCCTATTAAATGGTACACTTTCTCCCAGACCAATCTTACTCCCATCTAGCTCCATGATTTTAATCCACAAAAGTAAGTAACTAACACCTGGTCTTGGAATTGAGCACAGTCTTGTTGTGGTATATTTCCCACTCTGTGCAGTCTCTTTGTTGGGGTGCAGAGTACTTGGACCTCTAACTCCCAGATGACTTCTTGGGAAGACTCCTTTGGCGCAGTGCTCTCCTGAGCAGCCTGCCTCTCTACTCTGCAACCTTATGCAGCCATAAATAGTAAATTAAAATATTAATGGCAATGATTTGACAAATATTCCCAAGTCAGGCAGCAAACTACTTAGTATAGATCTCAGCAACTTCTCCCAGTGGGGATCTGTGCTCAGGGAACTTCACAGCCTAAAGAGATTCAAAATTTCAGAGTCAAAAGTTTATAGCTTAGAACCTAAATGTCTTTATCTATAGTTGATTTTTCTTGGTCTGTTGGTGAAGTGGGAGAGTGAGGAACTCAGTCCTTCCTTGACTGAATTAAGGCCTAAAGGTTAAAAAAGAAAGAAAGAAGAAAAAAAAACAGCTGACTACTAAGTGATGCAACATGGACTTTTATAAGCCTCCACCCAGCCTCTTTGGCACAGCCAGCCTTCCTTGGGAAAATGTACCTCAGTGCTTCAGGGCAGCCTCTTAATGTTTCATTCAAATGGACGGTAGGTTAATGTTTGTACTTCTTCTTTTGCTGTTGTTTTCTCCAGGTGAGGAATGGTGGTTGGCCATTCATTGCCTTTGTCTCCTGACTGCAATTTCAAATGAAAGATCAGAAACAGCTTAAATTTTCATCCAGTTCTTTTCATTATATTCTGAACTCACTGCTTCTCCATAAACACACTTGATGCTTGTTTCTCAGACACCCAAGTGCTTTTCTTAAGTCACATATGGATGGCTTTGAAGAAGCCGGGTAGAACTCTGTGATTTGTATAGGTTGATTTTACAACAGGGCTAACATATGCTTAATAGAAGCCAGTTTCCTTGAACTGGATGGTTTAGCTCTGCAGCAGCTTTTTAACGGTCATAAACCACGTTATTTATTCCATTATTTCCCAGCAACTCTGGAGGGCAACTCAGTCAGTTCCTTTTACAGGTGCGGGAGCGGAGATAGTATAAAAGATATGCACTTGACTGTGAGGTCTTGAGCAAGTTAGGCAAGAATAAATGTAAAAATGTGTATATTTGTCTGCTGGCCCATAAAACAAAGTGGAATCATTTGAGTTATAGGTCATTAGCTGATAAAACTGCAGAGTCTTCGTTGGTTACCTACCATTGGGCTTTGGGCAGAAGTGAGGAAAAGCGTAAAAGTAGCTTTTCACTGAGGGGTTAATTGACCGTTATTGTTCATAGCTAGGATGTACGTCATGCTTTCTAGGTAATAACTCAGCAGCATTTATCAAATAGAAGTCCATGTACCAGGCTCAGCAACGAGGCACACAGAAAGTGTTAGGCTGTCATTGCCTTCCAGGATAAGTTCTTCCGTGTCTATTCTCTTGTTTTATCTTTAGCAGTTGTGTGTGGTAGTTAGGATCACTTGTGTTCTCCCATTTTATAGATGAATAAGTGAGAAAATGAAGCGTGCAGGTGTGGATTTGTCTGAAAGCATGGTCCTGATGAAAATACTAAAACTGTAAAGCAGGTGTCCTGACTGTTCTCAGTGATTTCAGTGTTACTTTGTGCTACACTTTGTGTAAGTACAACACTGGAGTTTAAAAACAAAACCAAAAAAGCTAGGGTAGAACCAAAGAGGGCTTCACATAGGAGAGTGGTGAGTACTTCAGTGACATGAGGAAGAGGGAAAGATATGTAGCAAGACTTACAGATTGTCTTTGAAATGGAATAGAACTGTCTGTATTGTTTTATGGCCTGAAATCATCCTTTCTCTTTAAGTAAATTTAAACCATGTGACGTGCTCTTTAGCAGTTTTCCTGCTGAATGTGCTACCTCTATCACTGCTATCTGGTGGGGGAGACCTTGACCAAAAGAGGGCATTTTGTGGGTCACATATACAAACGTGTCTGTCATGGTCTCAAGGCATTGAGAATTGAAGGTGAGCACCAACTACAGCAGATTCAAGCTGGAGAACAAAAACTCTATCTGCCCTGCTTCCATTTTTTATCCTCCACCTTAAGTAAGTCCAGAGGTTCAGGTGCATGAGAAAAATGAGTTCTGTACTCAGACTGACAAGCATAAGATTTGTACAGAATGGTCTTATCTTAAATAAGTTCAGGAACCTTTATAAGCCCCCGTGAAGGCAAGCGGCAATATGGTTATCTTAACTAAAGGAGTTTTGTTTTGTTCTGCAGAAACAAACCAGAAGCTGTAGAAGTAACATTTGCAGGTAAGTGCCTTTATTTCATCCCTATTAAGAGAAGCCACAGTATAAAAAAATAGAAAACAAAATTGTTTGTAAAATAAGCTTTGACATTTGGGGTACTGTCTCTTGATTGTCAATTTTGTGTGTGTGTGTGGTCTTTATTTTCCATGGATTTAGTGAGCTGTGTAAAGTTGCCTGATAATACCTTAGAAGTTTGGGTTTAATTTTATGGTACAAACGAAGGG